TCCTTCAAGTATTATTGAATGTTTAGTAAGATATATTGTTAGTTAGTGCTTTGCATTAGATTCCACAAGATAATCATATCAATAAATAACTCAGAATAATTTGTATCATAGAAACTTAAGATTAATTAGTAAGCTTCGAACTATTAATTAATGCTCAAATTTTTATCAATAATCTTAGTTCGTCTAACCAGATTTAATTCTAAATACAAAGGAATTGAGTCTTTGGAACAAAATCAAATATTTAAACCTCAATATCTTTAGAATTCGATGTTGTAAACCATTGATAAACCTTTGATCTAACAGAATTCATAGTTTGAAATATCTAAGGTCTGCAAAATTTGGTTCTAAAGATATAGTGATTAGAAAATCAGAGTTTGTGGCAAAGACTCAATTCCTTAGGGTAGGTCTTTGATATTTAGACAATTTTAATTTTGTTAAAAAAATCAGAAATCCGGATCAATTTGATATGCTCCCTTAATCCTAATATTGGCAAACCACATTTTATGAATAATACATTCCAATGGTAAAGTCTTTAACGGTATATATTTAAGTAACATAACAATTTCACTTAAATCAATGACAAATATGTAAATATCAACACTTTATTAGGATATTAATTGAACTGCCTCCATATTTTTCAAAAAGTGTAAATATTTAATGAAAATGCTTGCTCTCATACTTATGTATGTATACAAAATAAAAGAAATTTCTTTTAAATTTTTCCTAAAATTTTAACAAAATTCCTTACATTCATTAATATCAATTAGGAAGGCGGGTCTAACTAACTAACATAAAAAGAAAACTAGAAGCAAAACATTAAAGTTCTCAAAGTTATACATTTCTTATTCGTTTACATTTTGAATTTACTTTGAAATGAAGGGTGGATTGTAGATTGTACATTTGATAAACTAGTAAGTCTAGCTTCTGAGCACAAAATCATTTAATCAAACGTCTTTAATAAGTCTACAGGACATTAATTTATAAAATTAGGAGGGGTGTATATAAAGAATAAGGAGGAGTGTAGAGAAGGAGGAGGAGGAGGAGTGTAGAGGAGGAGCAGGAATGTAGAGGATGAGGAGGAGGAGGAGGAGTGTAGAGGAGGAGAAGGAATGTAGAGGAGGAGGAGGAGGAGTGTAGAGGAGGAGGAAGAATGTAGAGGATGAGGAGGACTTTAGAGGATGAGGAGGCGGAGTGTAGAGAATGAGAAGGATGAGTGTAGAGGAGGAGGAGGAGGAGTTTAGAGGAGGAGAAGGAGGAGTGTAGAGGATGAGGAGGAGGAGTGTGGAGAATGAGAAGGATGTGTGTAGAGGAGGAGGATGAAGAGTGTAGAGGATGAGGAGGTGGAGTGAAGAGGATGAGGAGGAGGAGGAGGAGTGTAGAGGATAAAGAGGAGGAGTGTGGAGAATGAGAAGGATGAGTGTAGAGGAGGAGGATGAAGAGTGTAGAGGATGAGGAGGTGGAGTGTAGAGGATGAGAAGGATGAGTATAGAGGAGGAGGAGGAAGAGTGTAGAGAATGAGGAGGAGGAGTGTAGAGGATGAGGAGGAGGAGTGTAGAGGATGAGGAGGATGGGGCTCCAAGAAGAATCTATGTTGCAGGTACCACCCGTATCCCGTATATCCAGCCACAGTTGGTTCGGATCAAGAGACCTAGTGAGATGTCTCCATCCTCCAGATTCTAAGAGTATGTATAAAGTACGAGGAGAAAATAAAAAGAGATAAACAAGCTTCACTTTCAATGTATTATAGCTGCAAGACAGAATAGAAGTAGGGAGTAGAAATACTTTTCAAATTAATTATTCTCTTAAACTGTATAGGATTAGAAAAAATTCTTACACTTGCAAAATAAAAAAGTGTACTTCTTCCTGACGATATGAACAAAATTAACATTTCTGTCTTTTCCTACAAAAGAGTCTGTAAAGATGTACTTTTCTATGTTACGCTAAATCTGTATTTATTTCCAATTTCAGTTATGGGATCGATTTAAATATCTTAATGCTTTTGGAAAAGCCTATGACAAAGAAAAAAATGTAAGTGAATAAATGCAATTTCAGATTTTACCATCGTAAATATATTCATGGCGGCTTAAGGTATCCCTTAGTAGAAATATGGTTAAAATAGTCAATGGGCTGCACATGTTTAATCATAACGATTTTATTAAGGAAAGCTGTACGTGAATAAAATTCACATTTAAGAAATTTGAATGTGGTTCTATTCAAAAATCTCCCTATTTGACAGAATTTATTCAAAACTGCACAAAAAATGAACCTTTTATTATCAATGTCTGTGTTTATTTTTTAATGTTTGTTTTTCAGAGCCAAGATATTAAATTGCAGTTGTCAAGTAAACTTATTGTGAAGGACAATTTGGGAAAATACCAATAGAAATGCACTTTTTTCTTTTAACAAAAAATAAATATAAAGAAGTTTTAATTCCATTCTTTTTTAAAATCTTTATTTTGATTAAACTCAATAAAACATTCATTAATTTTTATTATTATTATTTTTATTATTAAATTTTCCTCTCATGTGAGAAAATCTTTCGAAGTGAATCTTTACCACAAACTCTGATTTTCTACTCCAGTTATTTTAGACTTCATATATTTCAAACTTTGAATTATGTATTTATTAAATAGTCTAAGTTTGAAATAAACCAACCCCCAGGTTGCAAAGATATATAGATATAAAATTTAAGTTCGTGGCAAATACTCAATTCTTTTGTAATTTATGTAGCTTTTATTTAAACACAAATTTCTGTAAAATATAGATATGACTTGAAAACTGCTGTAAAAATTTGATTTTTACCAAAGGAAAAATTCAGGAAAGCCTTAACTATTCTCTTTCTAGAAGAGAGCTCAGCCTAACAAGAAAATACTTTATGTAACACAGTTTTAAATATATATTTCGATTCATTTTATCTTTCTTAATTCTATACAAAACAATTATATTAGTTGATAATACTAAAGAATGAAAGAAAAAAAAACTAAATCTATATATAAATTTGGCTTGTCTGTTTGTCTGTTTGTTTGTTTGGCTGTTTGTCTGTCTGTCTTTTGTATCCAATAAACGTCAAAACGGCTGAACCGATCGGGCCCAAATTTTTTGTGGGACATCTAGGGACCCCAGGGAAGGTTTATGAAAAATCTAAATTTCAAATATTTGTCTCCATCAAAATTCGATCGTCATTAAATTTTTAAAAATTTTGAAAATCCGCGAAATTTTTTGTGAAAATCCGCGAATTATTTTTGTTTTGTTTTACGATGTACACAAAGAGAACATGTTCACAATTAATTTAGGAGATGGGCGCGAAGCGCCTTGAATTTCTAGTAACAAAAATTATATTTAACAAATAAAAAAGGAATTTTTAATTTTTTAGTTTTGGACTAAAACACATTTGGTCAAACTTGAGATGTGATGATTAAGCTGAGACTAAATTTGATATACAAGATTTTAAGAATTAACCAAAATTATTGCAATCCGAACCGTAGACCTGATACATTTAAACTTTGAATTTCTTTAGATGAAAAAGTCTTAGTTTGAATTTTCAAAGATTTGCACCATCAGAATCGGGATTACACAATTTGAGTTTTTGGGAAATGTAAGTTTAGTACAAGGTTGTTAAAGTAGATTAGATTGCTTGGAGTTGTATACACGATATAGTTGTTTAGCCGCTAGCGCGCTAACCATAGAGAATAGAATATATAGAGAGGAATTTACTAGAAAAAAGTGTAAAACGGCCATTTTGTTGTACTGTTTCCATACTGCAGGTGTACTTCACATATTTGTGCTATATAACCTTTTGGGCCTATGCCTATGCCTTCCACTTTACAAACGATGATTTTCCGTTATAACTATAAATCAAATGATGTTTTTATTCAACTAATTCATTATAAAGTTTATTTAACAGTTTAAAAAATTCGAAATTTAAATGGATAGTATAGGCAACATACTGTATTAATGTACTCTACTGCATATAATTTGTAAACATTTACATGATTTGTACACTTTGAACTCCCTTTCAGGCTGAAAGGGACTGAAAAAATTCATACCGAGAGATTTTTTTAATTCCTCTCTATATATATTCTATTCTCTATGGCCCTAACACCACTTATCCGGTAGAATAACTTAACATTTTTCAACATCTCTTAAAGTGTTTGCCACAAACTCTAGTTTTTATCCATATATCTTTGCAAACCGATGTCGCAGATCTTTGATATTTCAACTATAGATTCTGTTAGATGAAAAAGTCTTATTTAAAATATTAAAGGCTTACACGATCAGGTTACAAAGATATAGGGATTCGAAAAAAGGTCAATTCCTTAGAACTACAATTTTCGGCCTACGGGCATTGACATTTTTTCTGTAATGAAATGAAATTACATTACTTTTTTGCAACCTCAACCCTAATACATAATTATTTAAGCATCAACAAATATCAGAGTTTATGAATATCCCCAAAATATGTAATAATATTCATTTTAATTAAATTTTTTGTTAAACTACAGCATTTAACTTTGATGCTTTGATCTGGAGTATCTATGAATATAAATGGAATATATGCATATATGTATATCTGTCCAGCTACTATATTTGAATTTTCTGTTTGTTCGTTGGTTTGTTTGTATCATATAAACGTCAATACGGCTGGATAAATATGTTTAGGTAAATTTTATGTTGTATAACTCACATGACCCTAAGAATTGTTTATGTCCGGTGTCGTGCATGGGACACCTCCCTGCATGGAAACACATCCCTACAATTTTAACCATTTCAACACTATTTTAGACATAAAAAGCAATGTTATCACATTTTCCGATATTTATTAATGTATTTGATTGGAAAACACATTCAAACTTATCTATGTCTCGAGTAAATATTATTGTTTGATGATTGGAAAGGAAGACGACATTGGAGAGTAAATAACTTTTTTTGCCTTTTACCCCCTGTAAAATATATTTAAGAACTAAATGCGTATTTAATGTCACCTAATAATTTTTAATGTTTTAACATTGATTTTTATGTCTAACATTGTGCTGAAATGGTTAAAACTTTAGGGGGAGGTGGCCCCATGCACGACACCGAACTTAAACAAGGAAATATTCCGGTTGTTTATAGAAATCTGCCAATCTGCAAATTTTTGTTTGTTTTATGGTGAATGCTTAAAACCTGGATCCACAATCCACATAAGGTTGGTATATACAATTACTTTCCTGTTCACTAAGAAAATACTCATATTCAGAGGTGAAAATCTGTATAGAATTTGACAATTCCTCCTTTAAAACTCAACAGTGTTGCTGGAACAAATACTTCCAGTTTACATTCTCATATTTACGAATTAACCTGCGCGCTGTCTAAACTGAAGCAAGAGCAATGTCCTGTTTGAAGTAGTTGAACTAGGTTTTGCAGGTTTAACTACTAGAGAGTCACGTGTAGAGAATGTTATGTATGTGCCTCTGGAGAATATTTATGTATATCCCACAGGATTTATTCATTCATTTTCTCATCCTTACCTTTAAAAATATTTACTATTGTTCACAATAATATTTACCGCAGATAAACATTCCATACATTTTTTTGAAATATGAAATCAATCTCCTCTAAAGGTATACGCTCAATTTACTGTCACAGCTTTGAAATTTAAATCAATAAACAGAAAAAATCGTTTGTTTGCAAACAATTGAACTTTAATATCTTTCTTGAGTTATAAATAACACTTCAGGAAAAGGAGCTGTTACGTCGTTTTTCTGATTTGAAAAGTGTTTAATTCTGATGTTTTCATCGGACATTATACTTTACCCCTTCAATTTTGAATAAATATTGGGATCCCTGTACACACATATATTTATATAATACATATAAATAATATAGTATATATATATACAAATACATCATACATGGTGAATAAGCTTAATTAGAATATCCTGAGTTAGTCAGTTATTCTCCTGAGTAATTATATAGTGATGATCAACTACACATTCTATATATTATACATACATTATTCATTTTAGATTGTTTTACATAAGTAGGGAGATATGTAAACAGATAGATGCATACAGAGATTGATATAGATAGGAACATAGATAGACAGATAGTGCATAATATTGCTAATATTGGATTGCCAAATGAATGCCGCAAACTATTTCTAAGGTCAAAGACGACTTTTAGGTGTTCAATCAATCAATAAATTAGTTCAGCTCTTTAAAAACAGCAATGCAGGTAGACAGATAAATACATTGATTCTTGTTCTTTTCTACTGGTCTTTAATAAGATGAGTTATGATTTATAACATATAATATTAAAATATAAGTGTAACAACATGAACAGAATTTACCTAACGATTGATTCAGGGATAAGTTGGTTGGTTCAGAATATATTATATTTATCTATCTATCTAGTTCTCCATAACATATTGATAACATGAAGATTTATTTGAAATATTATCAGGTCTTTACTTATTCAGTCTCCATGTAGGAAGGAAAGCAAAGATTAAATTTTGAAAGATGATTCAAACAATCTTGTGATTATTTGCAAGAAACATCGGATTGATTTAGAAAAGATAGAAAAAATATGGATTTGGTTCAGATTCAAGTTCAGGTTTAGGTTTAGGTTCAGGTTCAGGTTCAGGTTCAGGTTCAGGTTCAGGTCCAGGTTTAGGTTCAGGTTCTGGTTCAAGTTCAGGTTTAGGTTTAGGTTCAGGTTCAGGTTCAGGTTCAGGTTCAGGTTCAAGTTCAGGTTCAGGTTCAAGTTCAATTTCAGGTTTAGGTTGAGGTTCAGGCTAAAGTTCAGGTTTCGGGTCAGGGTCAGGTTCAAGTTCAGGTTCAGGCTAAAGTTCAGGTTTCGGGTCAGGGTCAGGTTCAGGCTAAAGTTCAGGTTTCGGGTCAGGGTCAGGTGCATGTTTAGGCTTAGTCTGAGACTCTCAGGTTTGGGTGTACCTGAAGTTACGTACAGGGCAAGACTTAGATTCAGATTCAGGTATAGATTCAGGGTCAGGTTCAGGTCCAGGATCAGGGTCAGATCCAGGGTCAGGGTCAGGTCCAGGGTCAGAGTCAGGTCCAGGGTCAGGGTTAGATCCAGGGTTAAGGTCAGGGTCAAGTTCAGGGTTAGGGTCAGATCCATGGTCAGGGTCAGGTTCAGGGTTAGGGTCAGGTTCAGGGTTTGGGTCAGGTACAGGGCCAGGTCCACGGTCAGGGTCAGGTTTAGGTTTTGGTACAGATTCGTACAGAGTAAGATTCAGTTTCAGATTCAGGGCCAAAGGAATTGAATTTTTGCCACAAACATAAATTTTCAAATCCATAAATCTCTAAAACCTAATTTTGTAAACCTTTGATATTTCAAACTTACACTTCCTGATCTAACAGTATTTGAAGTTTGAAATATCGAAAGTCTACGAAATAGGGTTATAAAGATAAAAGGATTAGAAAATCAGAGTTAGTGTCAAAACCTCAATTTCTTTAACTCAGGTTTAGATTTAGGATTAGTGTCAGACTCAGATTAAGGTTCAGGTACAGAGCTAGGCTCAAATTCAGGATCGGGTTCAGGATTAGTATCAGGCTCAGGGTTAGATGCAGCTGTTTGTTCAGGACAAGATTTAGTTTCAGATTCAGGGTCAAATTCAGGTAAGGTTCAGAATCAGGTTTAGGTTAAAGTCATATCTATTTATCGTTTCTGACTGAGAATATGGCAAGATTTAAGTTCTAGGTCGTTTCCAGACCTTGCTTCAGATTTAGTTTCAAATGTGTTTTTTTTTTTAGAAGAAATGTCTCCGAACTATTCTTTGCTTGCAATAAATCAGGAAAATAACACAGGTCCGAATAGAAATGGTTTTGCAATAAGTAATTTAAAAAGATATTTTATTAATTTCATTTAATTTATTTTAGGACGTAGGGTGTCAAGTATTTCAAATCATTTCATGGAGAAACAGAGTTTCAATATATCTACTGATCTACCATCTAGAATACAACCTGTAGATATACAGGTATATATATATATATTCACTAATCTACAACCTGTAGATATGCAGGTATATATATCTACTGATCTACCATCTAGAATACAACCTCTAGATATACAGGTATATATATATATACTAATCTACCATCTAGAATACAACCTGAAGATATGCAGATATATAATATCGACTGATCTACCATGTAGAATACAACCTGTAGATATGCAGGTATATATATATATTCACTAATCTACCATCCAGAATACAACCTGTAGATATACAGGTATATATATATATATACTAATCTACCATTTAGAGTACAACCTGTAGATATACAGGTATATATATATATATATACTAATCTACCATCTAGAGTACAACCTGTAGATATGCAGGTTTATATATATATAATATGTATAATATGTATAAATAAATATAAGCATAAAAGATAGCAACGTACACTATATTAAGAAATAAAGGTTTACAACGTCTTAACAACATCCTGGATTTAACAGGGTAAGACTTGTAGACTCTCTAGATTGTACTCTCACACGCTAAACTCATGTTGTATCCCGCTAGTGCTTAGGTTTTGGACATAAATATTTAAAAACTTTCAACATACTTTTATCCTGATGATCCAGCTGATGTAAATGTGCTTAATAACTTACATTACAGGGATTCATGTTTGCATGACTCATATTCAAAGGAATTGAGTCTTTGTCACAAAACTGTGATTAATACAACCTGTAGATATACGGGTATATATCTATAATCTACAAAATAGAATATATAGAATTAACTGTTATATCAAACAATCTAAGTTTAAAATATGAAAGGTTTACATAATTTAGTAGTAGATATATAGGTATTAGAAAATTAGAATTTGCGGCAAAGACTCAATTCCTTTTAATTAAATAAATTTATAATATTTTCAACGTTAAGATTTTTTCTAAAATATCGTCCGATTACAGAAATTAAAAATTAAGTCTTAAATGATTGTAAATATTAATATGTTCTAACTAATACATTCACACTTTGTGATAGAAAACACATTGAGCTTCAGGACACGCTTCGACTTGATAAACCTTTAAAGGCCGGAAACGTTTTGTTGGAAAAGAAATTATGGGGAAACATTTTGTGGAAACATTTAGTCTGGAAACATTTAGTTAGGAAACATTTTGTGGAAACATTTAGTCTGGAAACATTTAGTTAGGAAACATTTTGTGAGGAAATATTTTGTTAGGAAACATTTTGTGGGAAACATTTTTTGGAGAAACATTTTGTGAGGAAACATTTTGTGGGAACATTTTGTGGAAACATTTTGTGGGGAAACATTTTGTGGAGAAACATTTTGTGGGGAAACATTTTGTGGGGAAACATTTTGTGGAGAAACATTTTGTGGGAAACATTTTGTGGGGAAACATTTTGTGGAAACATTTTGTGGGGAAACATTTTGTGTAGAAACATTTTGTGGAGAAAAATTTTGTGGGGAAACATTTTCTGGGGAAACATTTTGTTGAGAAACATTTTGTGGAGAAACATTTTCTGGGGAAACATTTTGTGGGGAAACATTTTCTGGGGAAAAATTTTGTTGAGAAACATTTTGTGGGGAAACGTTTTGTAAGGGCTCCAATTCTACATCAATCTTTCTATCTAACTAGCTTCTGACTAATTTCATTCGTTCCAATTGAGGAAAAATAATTGTTTGCAACAACATGAACAGAATTTACCTAACGATTGATTCAGGGATAAGTTGGTTGGTTCAGAATATATTATATTTATCTATCTATCTAGTTCTCCATAAATGTATCTAATAATGTACAAATTGTATCTTTAATCGTAAGTCAGTTATCTATCTATCTAGTTCTTCATAAATGTATCTAATAATGTACAAATTGTATCTTTAATCGTAAGTCAGTTATCTATCTATCTAGTTCTTCATAAATGTATCTAATAATCAATGCTTTTAGTCGCACATAATTTTTTCCTGCTCTTTTCTTCGACTTCTTCCTGTATATCTTGGTGGGGAGGGGGGGGGGGGCATTTTTCACATATAATTAAGTTTATGTCTAAATTGTTAAGGCAAGAAATCTTTTAACACGTTTCCCTGTTTCATCAATTATTATTTCTATCCAAGGATATGAAATGAATTAGTATCAAGTAATATTTCAAATACTTGAAAAAGTAAAAACTGTTAACGAAACTTTAATTGGCTCATTTTTTATGATTGACAACTTGCGTATCTTAAATTCTTCTGCTAGGAAAGAACCCCGTGGTTTTTTTTTTTTATTTATCTGTGTATGAAAATTGAAAAGTCGTTTTTTAACATGTTGGCAATCTTTTTCATGTCAATATCAATTTTATTAAAAAAAAGAACGTTTTTTAAGACAGGAAAATGTCAACAATAATATTTGATAATGAAACTTGATTGTTTTTTAGGACAGAAGTTACATATACATGCAAACAAATTTCCGTTGGACAGAAAACTAACTGAACTTCAATCGTATTGAAAAAACATTTGCATTTGACCACAAATGCATATGAAATGCATTACACCTTCAAATACACATGCATTTTAAATAATATGTTCATACTCCAGAAGTTTAAACAATCCACTTTGAATTATAGTGAAGTATATATATATATATATATATATATTTTATTAAAGCCTTTTCCCTTTAGTATTAGTCACATGTACCGTACCACCACTCACCTATATCATCATATACCGTACCACCACTCACCTATATCAACATGTACCGTACCACCACTCACCTATATCAACATGTGTACCGTACCACCACTCACCTACATCAACTCATCTCAAAAATCCAAAATGTTTATCCGTTATAAGTATTACACTCCCATATCTCAACTCAAAAGCAAAATCCCAAGGGGTGGAAATCCCCCCCCCCCTCTCCGTTCCAATGTCCGTATCAAGGATATCAAGTATGGTTAATGTTTTTACCCAATAGACTTTTTACTTTAAAAAAATAATATTGAAAATCCGTCTCCAGAACTAGAAAGATAACTGAAGCAACCAGTCTTTAAAAGAAAATGCAATATCAAATTTTAAAATAAATGCACTCGTACTATTTTCGGAAAGGTAAGATAAGAAAGTTTTCGGAAAATCCAGAATATCCTTCTATAAAATCTAGAATATCCTTCTATAAAATCTAGAATATACTTCTATAAAATCTAGAATATCCCTCTATAAAATCTAGAATATCCTTCTATAAAATCTAGAATATCCTTCTATAAAATCTAGAATATCCTTCTATAAAATCTAGAATATCCTTCTATAAAAATAAAACTATAGGCACAGAAAATTTACCAATTTGAGCAGCATATGAAAATATAGAAACATTATTCATAATCATATCACAATCTTTCTAATTTATTTTGCAACAATTAAACTAGTTTTATTGATGATCTGCTTTTTAAGCAGTAAAACGACAACATTAGACATGAATTATTAATTACACAAAAATACCATGATTTCAACGGTATTCTAAATGGAAAGCTTTAAGAATTTACAAAATGCTAGGTGTAGTTTTCCAATATTGAAAAATGTCAAATAATTATGTTTAAAACAAGGAGGATGTATATTTGCTGTGAAATTGTTAAATCTGAAAGATTTTCAAATCACAATATTTACCATAATAAAACATTGATTCAATAAAGTTTCAAATTGTTGCTCTTATTGGCGCTTTTCAGGCTATTAGACTAAGATTTCCGTAAAAATAGGTAATTATGTGCATTGAGTTTTTGCCACAAACTCTGATTTTCCCTATGTTGTAGACCTTTGATATTTCAAACTATTAATTCTTCTAGATTAAATAAGATAAACTTAAAATATCAAAGGTTAACACCATCAGGTTGCAGAGATATTTGGCGGAATTCAAAAGTCGGAAATGTCCGGAAATATGTATTTTTTCTCAAAAAAAATGTATAGCCTGATAGGGCGTACCGCCCCCGTCCTATAAAAAAGCTCCATAGTCAAAATACGGAGTTTCAATACATATTCATAGCCAAAATTAAGGCTAGATCATTAAAAAAACATTAGACTGCTAACTTAAATAGTTAGGGTGTTAAGGCGAAGGTTTCTAAGAAAATGGCTGATTGTTTTTGACAAATGATAAAAGTAAAATCTGCTAGCTCAAATAATAACCAGTAAGTAGCACATCTATATATACTAATGCTTGTCTGTTTGTTTCAAAAAACGTCAAAACGGCTGATTCGTTCAGGCCCAAATATTGTGTGGGACCTAACATAGCCTCAGGAAAGGTTTATGTATGATCAAAATTTCAAAAATTAGTCTCCAACAAAATTCGATTTCCATTAAATTTTGAAAATCCAGGATTTTTTTTTAGAAAATTCGCGAATTTTTGTTTGTATTGTTTTACAATGTATACAAAGAGAAAATGTTTGATACTAAACTATAGAAGACGGGCGCGAAGCGCCCTAAAGCGCCCTAAAAGCTTAGTTTATTAGATTATTATTAGATTTATTAGACACATCTATTAGATTTCTGATATATCCAGCCGGCCTATGCATATAAATATCCTATGCAAGTCAAAAGTAAACAATCCAAAAAACTACTATTTCTTAAAAGTCAAGAATATCAAGGTGGTTGTGTCAAGAATGCGAGTGCTATGCTAAAAAAAACAAGAAGGGGGCCAACACCCCCCCCCCCCTCCGCCCTAATCTGCATCTTAGTAATATGCATATATATACATATTTATAGAAAAAGTAAATGTTGTATTCTAATATCTGGATATATCTACAGGAAAATATTAAAGCTGACATCTTGAAAATCTTAGCTTGCAGGTTCAGGATTAACCTACATCCTAGTACTTCAAAAGCCACGTGTTTCTAAATATAATGCGTATAAAAGGGATTGTATTGTTTACCGGTTATATTTCAAACTGTTCGTTCTAATAGAATTCATAGTTTGAAATATCTAAGGTCTACGACATCAAGTAGCAAAGATATAGTGATTAGACAATCAGAGTTTGTGGCCCGCATAAACTCCATTTCTTTAGTCAGAAAATATTATTGCATGATACATGCTTTAATATTCAAATCGCTATCTGTTAACAAAAACTATAAAATATGTACAAAGAATATACAAAACTTGTTCATCCAGGTAAGTAAATATGCTGATTTTTAAACCTAAGAAATCTAAATAAACGTTTTCCAGCTCTGGTTTATTTGGTGAAGGGAAACAAATCTATTTAGTATTAATCCTAGAATAGAGCTCCAGAGCAATTTATACTTTTTCTGCTTCGTTAAACACTGAGCGACAAAATTGTATTCAAAAATCAATCTTGGTTTCTATAATACAGGGTTTCTATAATACAGGGTTTCTAAAATACAGTGTTTCTATAATACAGGGTTTCTATAATAAAGGGTTTCTATAATACAGGGTTTCTATAATACAGGGTTTCTAAAATACAGGGTTTCTATAATACAGGGTTTCTATAATACAGGGTTTCTATAATACAGGGTTTCTATAATGCAGGGTTTCACACTAAATCCACCAATAACAGATCACTTTGCTTTTGATATTTAAATGAGGTGTATCGAAAAGTAGCACTGCTTAAATATACCCTTATTTCCATGATGTCATGTATGTATACGTTACTCCTAAAATCTTGAAAACCTTTTTTTGTTGATACACATTTTGTCAATTTTCACTCGACAAAAGTATCAAAGAAAATAGAAAAAAGACGCGCTTCATGACCAAACTCAACATTTATTTGATAAGAGGTTGACAGTACAATAACACAAGAATTATCTTTACACCCCAAATATTAACTTAAATTCTAAACCATTTTATAACTTACGCAACTTTTTGTCTCTAGGAGAAGGAAGAACGGCTTCCAACCAGATACGATGAGGATATCCCGATCAAGTATATCAAGCTAGCTGTTCTAGGAATATAGATTTACAGCTTATTTTTATGAAACTATTGATATATTGTGCACTCTAGTGACTCTGTCATTCATAAAGGAAGTGAGTTTTTGCCACAAATGCCAATTTTATTATACCGAAATCTCAACGACCAGATGATGCATACCTTTCATATTTCAAACTTACATTGTTTGATCCACCAAAATTCATAGTTTGAAATATCTAAGGTCTACGATATTTGATTTTAAAGAAATTGGGATTTAAAAATCCGAGTTTGTGGCAAAAACTCAATTCCTATGATGATTTTTTTTTATTGCAAAGTATGCAACGTGGCATAATGTTAAACGTGCTGCTTATTATAGAATTGTATGCAATAAGATTTAATTGGTTTCATGATTTCCTCTGTCCAGAATAATTTTCAAATTTAATGAAAATAAAATTAAGATTAATTTTTTTTACTCGTGCTACGTTTTTAAGTTAAAAAACATTTCACAAAACTAAAAATGGTTTTATCTTTAAAAAAAAACATAAAATATTTGTAGAAACTCATAAAAAAAAACAATTACAAATTAAAAACTAAATTCTAAATAAAATTCAAAACTTGACAAATATAAATATAATTGTAAATGGATATAATTGGCAGGAGATACAGGAGTAGGAAAATCCGCAGTATTAGAGGTAAGCTTTCTTTGAAGTTTAACCGCAATGCATTTTAATTTTGGTAAGGTTTGAAAGTATAGAGGTGGGTCACGGGGGAGGGGGGAGGGGAGGGGTTTAAATGCTTACTTTCTGCATTTGCAATGTAACATTATGTATAGCCTGTTGTTGAAGCGTACATTGTACTTTAAACTTAAAATCTTAATATTTCATGCAATCATTTAAGTGCACAGCGTGCGTAACCAATTTGAAATTTGATTTTGTTTAAACAAGTGAAAGGAAAATTTAATTTTATTGTTGAAATTCGCAATAAAAGCGACAATTCTAATTGTCAAACGAGACACGTACTATGGTCAGTTGTTGTGCTTTAAAACCGTTACTTTTATAACATGCTAATCTGATATCTATCTAAGCTATCTTAGACGCGATAATGTCTAAGTTGGACATGTTAAGGTCATGATTTGATTTCGGATATTTCACTATTAATCGACCTTTTTACGAATATCTATCTTTGGTTATAACCAAGATTTTCATGACTTAAAACCTTTGACAAAGAAATAAACTTATGCTTTACGTACGCCTGCTTTGAAAAATGGAATTAAAAGAAATAAAACGAATTCCGTTTCGTCATCTATAAAGGAGCGGTCTTTTTGGGTCACCTTGTATATTTTTGATACAATCATAAAATGGAAGTTTTACTGAAACAGCAGACTGTGCCAGGCTAAATTCAGCGGAAAATTGTTAAAATTTGATAGTTTAAATCTGGTGGTTTCCAGAACTTTTCCACTTCTCTCAATTAAAATGTTCTATTGAATTTATTCAGGACCAAATCATGATATTCAAATATTATAACCATAAAAAGGGAACCACGAAATTCAGGAACTAACCTATGATATTTCTATGAACGCATAACTTTATAAATTAGTAATTTTTAAATGGCCAAGGTATGCATCATCAGGTGTGTACTAGCATTCAGTTCCTTAAAGCCGTGGAGAAGGGGGGAAGAATCGTAAAAATCGAATTTATTCAATAAACCTATTATTTCCACCAATTAAGGCTTTGACACGATTCACGACAATCACGTTTTAAGAAGAATATTGTGGCGAAAACCAGTCATTTGACCCTGAACCTCTACAGTATCACACTGTTTTGTCTTCAATTTTTACTCCTATAATTCAGGACAAATGTATTAAGGAATTAAATCTTTGCAACAAATCCAAATTTTCTAATACATATATATCTACAACCAAATTGTGTAAACCTTAGATATTTCAAACTTTGATTATTTGATATAACAGAAGTCATAGTTTGAAATATCTAAGGTCTACAGCATTGGGTTGTTAAGATATAGGGATTTAAATACCAGAGTTTGTGGCAAAGACTCAATTCCTTTGGTTTCATTTTCTAAAAAGGTTTCAATAAACATTTAATTAGATTTTAAATTGCCAAATCCTGCTAAAACCTTGAAAGCTTGCAAAATATCATTACTTGTTCAATTTTGAATTTGGCAAATTTGAAACAATACTGCATGTTTAGCAACTTTTAAAAAAATGGTGTTATATATCTATTTGAAATTTCACCATAAAATTTAATATTAAAAGAAATCTAGTCAAAAAGAAAAATCAAAATTTTTATTGAAAAACCTGCCACAAGAAAAAACGTAAATAAATTTAGATTTTTCAGATTGAAATATTTTTTTGTTGCTTCTACTGATCCAAAAGTATTGTATTTCTTGATATTTCTTTCAGAGGTTTGTTAGAAATTCATTTTCCTCTCATCATGAAAGAACAACTAGAAAACAGGAATACATGCCCTCTCTCATACTAGACAATTCTATATTCGAACTAAAGGTAATTTAACAAAATAATTATTACGATAAATTATCATAGATTTCTTTCTAATTATATAATTAGAATACATATAAAATTTCGATCATTTATATAGGATTTATATAATTTCTCCGTTTTCAAACTGTCTATTCGGCTTATTTTTCATATTTTCAAAACTATAAATGGCAGAGAAATATGAAATAAAGAATTTGGTGGGGAGAATTTATCATTCCTCCCCCCCCCCCCCCCCCCCGCCCCATATCAAACCAAAATGAAAATTGATATTATAATTAAAATCATACAACTAAAAACATTTCAACATATTTCACATTATCTAAAACTTTGTGAATTATCGTAAAATTTTAAACCAATTCTTTGTGAAAATATGCTGATCGTGGAATAAAGGAATTGAGTTTTTGCATCAAACTCTGATTTTCTAATCTCTATATCATTGTATACCAATGTCGTAGACCTTAGATATTTCAAACTATTAATACTTATAGATAAAGTAATCTACGTTTGAAATATCAAAGGTTTGTACCATCAGGTTGCAAAGATATTGGGATAAGAAGATTTGAGTTTGTGGCAAAACTCAATTCCTTTAGAGTTGAATTGAATGGTGAGGATTTTTCAGATTGTTGATATTCCTGTGATAAACAGATTTCCCGCCAATTCTGAAGAGGAATGGGAGGAATATCGGTTCTACGGATTACGCAGGCACAAATCCGTACATATGTTAAACGTCACAAAACATGACTTCATTTACATGTATTAAGTTTTCCCGGATAATTTTTGCAGCTACTCCTTTCATTCGAAATTGCTATGTTGGCTATTGAAACTTTAACAAAGGAATAGAGTCTTTGCCACAAACTCACATTTTTTGCCACCTGATGGTGTACACCTTTGTTATTTCAAACTTAGATTATTTGATCTAACAGAATTCATAGTTAAGAAAAGAAACATCTAAGGTCTTAAAATAAGAGTTTTCCAAGAGTTTTTGCAAAAACTTAATTCCTTTTGCTTTAATATTGATTCAAGTTAGAGTCACATACATACTAGGAGGAGTCTGAGACATGCCCCCCCTCCCTTAAAGTTCGTATTTCTCTCGCTTTCAGCTTAGAATTTCATGCATTTACAATGCATTTACATGTTTAGTCTCCTTCCTCTGGATACTTCCATGATTCGAGTAAAATCTATACTCAGAGAATTAATAAAGAAAACATCTATAAAGAAATTTGTTAAATGTTTTATCGTAATTTAAAATTCATAACTAGAACTTATCCTTTTCAAGTTTACTGTTTAGTATTTACACATATATATACTTTTGCTAAATATTCAACCTTTCAAAAATCCTACATATATTTGAGAAAATTAAATATTGAAGATTTTTCCATATTTTATTCGAATAAATGTGAGAGTGAGAGGAACTAAGAGGACCATTAAACAATTTCCAGAATATTAAAGAAAAAAATAGTTTTTTATAAATATTTACGTTTTGTGGATTAGTGCACATGCGTACCTTCTAGTATTTGATGTTTCCTCTCATCAATCATTTCAATTCATCACAACAATTAGGTAAACTTTTATATAATAGTTTGGGATCACAGGTTTGCCTGGAAACTAATAGAATTTCCTGGTTCTCGAGTTCCCCAACTGAAATTTGAGGCAAATCTGTCAATTGGGCTTTTAGTTAAGATCAGACATACAAACAGAGATCACTACTTTATTTATTTTAATGACAAATTATAGATTTACACATTTTACGCCTAATGAAAGAACATATTCGACCTAAACTTGAACTCAAAGGAACTGTAAGTGGCCATCCAAATGATAGCAATACCCGATCCATGAAGATATTGTCGTTTTTCTAAGAATGAAATTAATTTTGTGCTTACATTAGTTTATTAAAATAAATAAAACATCAAGCAAAAAATATTTTTATAGGACTTTTTTTTCGATAATGCTTTTTTATTAATTGCCGAAATAATTGCTTAGAATTTGAATGCTTTTTAAAGAAAACAAATTATGAAGAATCCAAAATATAAGAAGATTTTATTATTCTAAAAGAATTTGGTCTGTTTTTCTTCTTTTTTGCATTTTCGATGGAAAAGCATTTTTAGATTTAAAATTTATTTTGTGCAAAAAGTAAAAATCTTGGTAATGCAGGCAATTTTTTCACATGAAATCCTTCATACAGAAAGGTTAGAGTGTGTGCAAAAAGTCCTAAAGCTGCAAAAAATCAACTTATGTTTTTAGTTTAAATTGTAATAAGCATAAAAAATCAATAACATTTGTATTAATGTTTGAGATTTTAAAGATAAAAAGCATTACACACAAATTATGCGTACATAAAATTGTAGTGTACACTATATTTATTGTTAATTAACTTTTTCAATAAAACATGTTTAGGTTGAAGGTTTTTTATGTATACCTTACCCAGTTTCAATTTATTAACCAAAAGATTTTAGCGTAATGCCAGGTTATAGCATAAATATTAAATGACCTACCCATAGATTAATAGCAATATAGGTAGAACACTAGATGTCGTCTTTTCAAGATTTAAGAGTTTTTTGTTCACAATATAATCCTGCGGCAGAAGCCCAATGGAGTTCTGCGCAGGCAGCTTTGAATTACAAGACAGACAGAGAGCCTCCGCGCAACTCCTTTGGACCTCTGCCTTAGGGTTATTGTAAACTAAAAACCCTTTAATCTTGAAAAGACGAAATATAGTGTTCTATCCGAAAAGTTATTAATCTATGGACCTACCACTGTAATATATTTCTACAAAATCATAGAAATGTTGATGAAACGTCTTGTTACATTTTTAACTATAACTTTTCAAAATTATGTTTTACGTTTGAATCTTAAAATAAAAATTATATAAATATTCTATCGTGATTTCAATTTTAATTCATGCAATCGTGATATATCTATTTATTATATGCTAGGCATTCAGGGCGCTTTGTGCCCATCTTCTATTTCAATTGTGAACATTTCCTCTTAGTATACATTGTAAAACAACAACAACAACAAAAAAGTTCGTTGATTTCATAAAAAAATTCGTCGATTTTCAAAATTTAAGGAAAATAGAATTTTGTTTGAGGCAAATTTTTAAAATTTTGAACATTCATAAACCTTCCCTGGGGTCATGTGAGGTCCCACATAAAATTTGCCTCAAGGTTTGATTTGGAAACTCTGGGGAATCACGGGAATGTTCTTAGCTTGGTTTAGAGATTATAAGTTGATTGGGTCGACTTTAATAGCGAAAATGTAGTTGCCCGGTAAAACCGTCCAAGTGCGGTTAAGTGGCTGGAGTAACTATGTATTACCAGGCTAGTACTATATACATCTTATGATTAGGGACCAAATATCCAGTTCTCGTGATATATCCTCAATACCTGTGATTGTAATCGCAAACAAATCCGATCTTGTTCCCACACTGTCCCCAGACCAAAACAGAACAAGGTCAGTTCTAATATTAGATGATCCTGAAGAAAAATTATAAAAAACATAAATAGTCAAAACTATAAGTATATTTATTTTACATGTACATAAACATCAAAGATTGTATAATGTATATGTAAGATGCAAATGTAAATTTTTTTTTTAATTAGAAATATTTTCACTCAGTCCTGTATTGGCAAATACGCGAAAATTAGTTCCTCTAACTAGGTTGAAACTTGCTGCTCAAAACTAGGCCTGAAAATTGCAAACTGTTTTAAAGCAAGGTTGGAAAACGCGACCTGCTCCTTTAACTTAGGTGAAATATCTAAATGTTTCTTTAAATAGGTTGGAAAATGCCAATATTGTAAAGAAGACCTGGAAACTAGGATATGTTGAGTCCAGTGCTAAATACAACTACAACATAACATACATTTTTAGAACACTTGCTCAGGTATACTATACGTCATTTCTCCTGTATTTTTAACTTTGCATCCTATTATTAACTTCGAAACGGCTGAACAGTGAACAGGTCAGGTTTAGATTTTTGTTTGACCCCAAGAGGTTTAATTCTAGTCAGAATTTGAAAAAGACACTTCAAAAAAGTATTTTTCTTAGTTTCGATTCATCTATGAAAAAAAAATAAAAATCTAACTGCGAAATTCCTTAAATATTTAATATTCAATAATTTAATATTGCCTTTTCTGTTTTTTTTTTTGTATTTAATATGACATAAATACATGGATGGATATATATCCCATCATGATTCCGATTTTTTTCATCCAACAAATATTTTTTTCTCTAAGAAAATGAGTCTTTGTTACACACTCAAATTTTCTATACCCTTTAAAACTTGATGTCGTAGATTCAATTTTTTTTCCTCAAAAAAAAACATTTAAGTTTTCTGACTATTGCATTGGATTGTACTAACATTTTTTTAAAGTAAAAAACAATATACTGGAGCACACATCAACCCCTGTTTTAATTGTCTCGTTAACTTGTCAACCTACTTTTATATTGGTGTTAAAAGAAAACAGAAAGTTTATCTTTAGAAAACATTTATTGAAAAGAAGTTTTAATAAGTGTTTGATTAATGTTAGGAACTAAAGAACGTGGAAGAGCACAAGACTGGAGATAAGAATTCAAGAAACCAGGGGAAGAAATGTTTCCGCTGCCTTCCATGATGTTAAAACCCTTTAACTAGGGTATTTAAAAATCTAAGTGAAAATTTCAAAATTTACCATTGAAAATATTTATAATAAAACAAGATATTCGAAATATGATCCCTATAGGCGGTCAAACGACTGGATCGAATGGGCTGAAAGTATACGATAAAAAATCGATTTTTTTTTCATAATTTTTTTCTTCCATTTTTTTTTCTACGAGCAACACCGCGGGCCCTTTCAGCTAGTATTTCATAATATTCATATGATTACAAGAAATGAAATCCAAAACGCTCAAACTAGATTGAACCATAAACTACTGAATAAATACATAAGTTGTTCAAAAATTGAAAGGAAGAGTAGGACTCCTGACGATTTATGCACAACATTTTTGTACGTTTTTATGATAGACACACAAAGCGAGGTTTCTTGAAGTATATTCAGATCTCGGTGGAACTATTCTAAATCAGCATTAATTAAACCTATAAAGACTACCCGAGGTCAAAATTTTGGACGATTAGCGCTAATTTACACTGCATGAACTCAATATCCAATTCATGCTATAGCAAATGATATGATTAATATCTCAATTCTAGTCAGCTGCAAGGAATGCCAAAGAAGAATTATTAAATACTTCGAACGTCTAAAGCGCGGATAGCCGCTTGATAATGGGATTTACAACTCGAAATTGTTGACATCTGTTTTTTTTTATGTGGGTGACCCAAGTTGAATTAGAACCATTAAAGTTTCTCACAACATTTCCAAGACCGACTCGCGGATTAGCAAGTTACTTAGCCGAGAAATAAAACGTTTTAGATCAAGATTAACCTCTCTGGGAATCGTTTAGGCCATCTCAGCAAATAAAAGGGCAACTGAAAAACGGTTGACAAGAGATCTTTATTATAATTTAAGAATAAATGATTTTTTTTCTAACCTATTTTGGTATGTCATTTATGAAATATGTACTGTGTACATTAATGATTACATTTGTTTTACAGAGTAGTTTGTGTTATTGCAAATATAATTTTTGAACTTTTTGGCAAAAAGTGATTTTTTATTGTAAAAATGAAATTGTTAAAAAGAAGCTTATCTAATATGATTATCTATAAAATTCATTTACATTTTACTCAAATAGCTTTTGTTTTTAAATGATTATTTGCTTTTTACTTCTGTTTGGGTCCAAAAAGTACAACTTTGAATTTTGAGCAATGGTCTTTCCTATATGTTGTGGGACATTCAGTAATTCAACTAATCCATTCTCGCTGTAAAAAAATATTAACGGAATGAAATGCATAATATCTTCCGCAAACACTCCCTTTAAAAAATACTTTTGTGAATCATACATGGCATTTAAATGGAGTGTTTAATAAAAAAAAGAATTTTTAAACCTGGCTCAAAATCAATTAAAATATTTATGTAAAATAACTTAAAATCAGATATAAGGATTCTTACAAATTTCTAAAAGACTGTAAAAGAAGACATTGTATATTGTTAATTGCTTAATTGAAACGAAAAATAAGAGTTTCTCGGGGAGAAAGATCTTTTTCTAAGAACATGTTTTTTTATTCTGACAAAACCAGACATTATTATTTTCCTCGCCGGACACTTTTCTCTTCAGCAGTTGTTACTTTTCAGAACTTGTATTAATCAGATATATTTACTGGACACTTATCTCTTGAGCAATTATGATTAAAATCCTTTTTATTAGCTATTGCAGAGTGAAAAAGTTTTAGCACCAATTTCTGAAATGGGGGTCTATAACCTTTTATCTCAAAGTTTGCAATATTGGATGTATAGACAGTTTTGGTTTTATCTGTGTAAATAATCCTTTTTATTCTTTAAACTAAATTCTTTAAGCAGACCACAATTTATAAATGCCAGTACTAGGGGTATTTTATGATTATTGTTTCAAGAATCATACTTGCTAAACTAGGTTTACAAAAATAGGCCTCCTTACTATCTGATAAAAAGACAAGCCATTTTTAATAAAAAAAAACAAGAAATATCAAGAAGAATTACTGCTAATTCTATAATTATGTCAACTCTTTGGAACTATAAAGAAGTTGAAGGAAACTTTGCGAGGAAATTAGTTCTGCACCTAGATTGCATTTCCTAAAATTGAATTTGATATGATTATTTAATCAAATTTTGTTTGTGTAAACATTATTTACATTGAAGAGAAATTTTGGATTATAATCTAATGTTTTTACGACATTTGAAGTTTAAATGCAAATTTAAATGCATTTGAAGAATCTAGAATTCCATTTCTTTTTCCTGAATTTATTATAATTTGTACATGCTTTTAAAGCAAGATTGTACTCAAACAGGTTCCATTATTCCCGAAAATAAATCAGACTTGCCTTTCCGGCAATTTTAAAAATTTGAGATCACCAAAGCAAATTTTAAACAGTTCTATGACTGTTCTGTTCTCCTAAAAACATTGTGGAATCAAATATACTTTTTCTATGACTATTTCATGGCAACAGTAGCCAGAAAAAGGTTGGGTTCAGTCGTTTATAATATTTGAGGCATGAAATATTTGAATTTGAATTGTCCTGAATTACATGAGAAATACAATTTTTTTAAGTATATGAATTTTCCTACAAAGAAGTATGAATATATGGGCGTTCGGGGACTTAATTGAACCACTTTTCCCCTGCGCCTTTTCAAGCTTAATAGAAGAGAATCAACTTACTCCATGTATTTCATTTTATTTTTGTATTATAGTTTCGGACAACATTAAGTTGTTATTCATATGTCAACTTTTTTTGTTATTCAGTTTTACTGGAAGCTTCATTTGACTTTGAGAATATATTTATAATAAAATCTTCTGCTTTGATTGTAGAGCTGGGAACTTTAGAATGGATAACCTTTAATCCCAACTACTTAATCCGAATATACACCGTGGAAACTTTTAATTTTAGTCCTTAATCCACTCTTTTTCTCTCTCTTTGGATATCAGTCCAATGAGAGTGCAGGAATATAGTTTGTAAATTGTATTGACCAATGAGAGCCTTGAAAATAAATCCTATTCCATGAGAGAAATCCGCCATTGCTAATAAATTAAGAATTTGTTGTCGGCCATTTTGTAAATTAATCGGTGAAGAAAAATATTTAATAATACGTTTAAGATTCTTTATTAACTAATTTACTAATAAAAAATGGGTGAGAAATTAAGTGAAGGCCCTTCTAGTCAAGAAAACGAACAAATCTGGCATTCCTAGAATCAAACTTGTTTATCAAAATATTTAGTCTCGAGACAAACAAAATCTCGAGATTATGTTAGTCTCGAGATTAGCAAAAAGCGAGGATTAAACATTAATCCTGATATTCACCATTCTAAAGTTCCCGCTTCTCATTTTAGTAAAATTTGTAAGAAGACTTTGTAAAAATTAATGTATAAATGGTAAATCTAACTAACCAATGCTCATTACTTGTGATTTAAAGTATGTATTAAATATAATCAAACTAGAAATATAAGAAAAAATTCATATAAAGTGTAAACAATTTTAATAGCACAAAATATCCATTAAATGATCAAATAAATAATAAATATAATATATTGGAATAAATAATCTAAGTTATTAATCTGCATATTTTATGTAAGAATGTAGATATATGTAATTATAAGTTTAGGCTCCTTATTTTTTAACATCATTTTAATATATGTAAATTTTTTCCCGAGCGAAGCGGAATACAAAATTGCCTATTTATACAGTCTAATTTATTAACCCCTTTATCTTTGCAACCCGATGTAGTTGACCTCTGATATTTCAAACTATGAATTCTGTTAGTTTAAATAATCTAAGTTTGAAATATCAACCGTTTAAACCATCATGTGGCAAAGATGTCTTATGCCTTTTGTAGTTATACTTGACAAAGCAATCAAGATATTTAGAGCAGGTAACGCTTAATGTTTAAGGAATCACTAAATTAGTTCTGATAAATCGTCTCTCTCAAGTCTCATTTGATGGTAATCCTTCATACCATCGAATTCATCTATATATAAATTTGGCTTGTCTGTCTGTTTGTTTGTGTCCAATAAACGTCAAAGCGGCTGAACCGATCGGGCCCAAATTTTTGGTGGGACATCACGTGACCACAGGGAGGGTTTATGAATGATAAAAATAAAAATAAATGTTTTTTTAAGGTTTTTAATTTTGTAAAAGAATTTAAATTCTTGAAAATCCGCGAATTTTTTTTTAAAAATCCGCAAAATTTATTTCTTCTTTGTTTTAAAATGTAAACAAAAAGAACATGTCTACAATTTAAATAGAAGATGGGCGCGAAGCGCCCTAAAAGCCTGGTTTTTAATATTTCTTCCGAGTTTAAATAGAGTTTTTAATCAGAATCAAAACGCAACAGACGCAAGAGACCCTCCATGCAAAGATGATAATGCCTGATCCGATTCACAACTATACACATGAAACCTTTATCCAATAAATAATTTGGAAGATATTGCCGTTTTTCCTACATGTTTTCCTGCAGTAGAAATTCGCAAGTCATTACTGTTTTGAGTTAAAATAAGTTAGAATTCTTGTAGCGAACTGGGAAATCCTGCAGGATTATGTTTGCTGGTTCGAAATAATTAACTCAAATCTGATTAAAGACAGGTTAAAAATATACTGAAGAGAAATGGGAACATTTCTTAGATTTATGGGAATTACAGGTTCTCAGATATATCATAATGTTTTATTATACCTGAGGAGTGAATTGTGGCTAAATAGCTTGAGGAAAATGGTAAGAATAATCCTCACGCAACATAGTTTCCTGCAAAAAATTAATTGTTTNTCTTAATTACATAGTTTCCTACCTTTACGTCGGTTATAAAGGCTTGAAAATAATATGCAGCAAGGAACTATCAATGTTCCGCGCTGGCATATTCCTTAATTACATAGTCTCTTACCTTACGTCGGTTATATAACTGTAAGATTACATAGTTAAAATAATATGCAGCCACACCAACGAAGAACCATCAATGTACTTCGTTGGTAGAGCTCTCAATCTGTATGTTGTTACATAGTAATAATTTTATTCAATCCACATAAACCTGTCTCGTCAACATCAACTTATTTTATGCATTAAATGTTCCACTACTTCATTGAT